AACACCAAAACGTGGATCATGGGAGGGGGTGTGAGCATATATGTATATATAGACTTGAACCTTAGCTGCAGATATACTACAACAGAGTTTTCCTGGCATAATTAACAATGATAATGCTCATGCTGTTGGTGTTGTGTAGCACATGCCTGCATGTGAGGATTAACATACGCCGGCGGTCCGCAGCTACTTGCAGCTCGCCGTGCGCGCGATTTCTTTGCTGTTCTCGTCCATTCGACGCCATGGCCACTACGCCGACCTCGTCTTTGCCTTTGTCCGCTGGCGACATTGCGGCGGTGTTGGCGTCGCTCGCCGAGTCGGGTGACTTGGCCGCGGAAGTGGCGGCTTGGACGCCGGAACTTCGGGCAGCTGTGGCGGTCGCGGTTACCTTGGCGAGTTCCTCGACGTCGCCGCCGACCACATCCTCTCTCCCTGTTCGTCGTCGTGATCGCTGGCAATAAGATCGACACGCAGCCTCCGCTGATGTCGGCTATGGAGGAGTGGATGGCGGCGCGCGTCCCGTGGCGACGACCTCGACGTCATACCGGAGGCCGCCGAAAGCAGCCAGCATGACGACACGGCCACCATGCCCGGCGACGAGGTTGTCGAGTACCAGGGTGGCCGCGCCTTGGGTATCCTCCTCCTCGCGGTTGGCGTGGAACGTACTTGCCAGCTTCGTTGGCGAGTACAACCAACAGGATACCAGGTTGGCTGTGCATGTTGCAAGTTGATTTTTGGTGAAGCGTGCATTGCCGCCCGAAAAACTGTCAAGTTTAGAGCGGTCCCTGTGTTCCTGGATGTCACATCCAGATTGCCACAGCGAATCAGATGTCTCTGCTCAGCCCCTAGGGAAGGAAACCGACGAGTTAAGGGAAATAGGAGGGTTTTCTGCGCCTTTTGCATTGTGATCAAGCACGAGCGTCATTTTGCAAAGTGGGTGAGACGCAGAAGGAAAATAATGAGAATGAAGCAGCAAGAAACATGGAAACGAGCAAATCTTTCTGCAAGCTTGCAGATGGATTTGAGCATGCAACTCGCGTCAGCAATCACACGAGGATGTGATGACAGTGAGTCTTGGCATGAGTGCATAGAAGTTGTTGTGCAGTCGCCGGGAGACTGCGTGACAACAGCCTGGCGTGAATGTCAAGAGGAGCAGTGGTATGAATGTGTGTCATACAAAGAAGGCAATTCAGTCATTGCCCCAAGTTTTGGAAGACAGGGCAATGCGTGTGATGATGTGTGGGATGTGCCTAGGCAGCAGAACCCTGTCCTGCGCGAAGTGCTGCTTGCCAGGGCTCTCCGCCCAACACTTTAGAGGGGGAGTTGGCAAGTACGAACGGTTCATTGACAAGCTTGGAGAGCTAATCCAGGCTTTCAAGGAGGAAGAGGCTAGCTCTACGCAGAGTCCAGCCACAAGAGTTCAGCAGCAACCGCAACTTGCACAGGAGGAGGGAGCTGCAAAGTTGACCCCAAGCTACCCTAAACTCTAAGCCTTCAATTAAGGTTTACTTAAACTCTAAATTAGGGTTCAGTTAAACCCTAAGTTAGGGATTAGTTTAAACCGGAAATTAGAGTTAAGTTAAACCTTTCAGTAGGGTTTAGCTAAACTCTAAATTAGACTCGAGTTAAACCTTAAATTAGGGTTTACGTAGTTAAGCCCTAAATTGGGGTTTAGTTAAACCCTAAATCAGGGTTTAGCTACTCTTTAACTTAGGGTTTACGCCCTAGTTGAATCCTAGCTAAACCCTAAATTAAGGTTGAGTTAAACCCTAAATTAGGGTTTAGTTGGACCTTAAACTAAGGCTTAGTGAAGCCCTAAACTAGGATTTAGTTAAACCAAAAATTAGAGGTTAGTGAAGCCGGAAATTAGGATTTAGTTAAACCCTAAACTAGGGCTTAGTTAAATCAGGGTCTAGTCAAACCCTAAATTAGGGTTTAGTAAGAACCTTAAAGAAAGGTTTGGAAAGGTTTAAACTAGGGTTTAGTTAAACCGGAAATTGAGGTTTAGTCAAACCATAAATTAGGGTTTAGTTAAGCCCT